TAAAATCTCAAACTTTTCAGGTTGATAGTCCTCAGTTTTGAGATTCAGATAAAATTGAATCTTCGATTGTAAAGTCACAATCTTACTGAGAGGCTTCGGAAAAATGAACCTTGATTTTTTCCATCTCAAACATTCTAATGGGACAAAAACAAATATTTTACATTTCCAATTATAAATAATTAGATGAGCCTAAGACACCAGATTTGGCTGTAGATCAGGGGTCTCAAACTCCCAGACCGGGGGCCATCCCCAGCTGGAGCAATTGTACAATCCACCCCAGGATTCCTGGTGAGCTGGGGAAAGGAGGGCTGCCTGTTACCAGCCCCCAAACCCAACCCCTTCCCACAGTTGTTCCACTCTTCCCTCCCATAGCAGGGGGGGGGGGGAGGGGGTCTGGTGCAGTGTGGTGGCAGAGGTCGTCTCTCCTCCCCATCGCACAGCAACTGCCACGGGGAAGCAGAGAGAGTGCATTTGCCCAGTACTGGGGTGGAGATTTGGGGTCTAGACAGGAGGTAGGGTGCAGGAGCAGGCTGGGGATAGGAGTGCGGGTGGAAGGGAGGGGTGCAGGAGGGAAGTGGGAATGCAGGGTCTGAGAGGGAGGGTTCAAGAGCAAGCTGGGGGGGGCATGAGGTCTGGGAGGAAAGGTGCAGGAGTGGGCTGGAGGTGCAGGGTCCGGGGGGGTGCAGAAGCTGGGGTGGGAGACACACGAGGCTCTGCGTGCTGCAGGGAACCACCCCCGCTCCGCTCCCATTGGCTTTGATCGGCCCACAAGTCTCAGGGCTCCTCCCTAGTCTCCAGCCCCAGCTTGCACTGCTATGGCAAGGCAAGCCATGGGCCAAATCCTGTCCACAGGCCTTAGATTCCTCACTCCTTAACACTTCAAAACATCTGAGGTGTGAAGAACTCACTGCCCTTCACCCTCAAGAAACACAGTTAATAGGGGGTCTAAATTAGCTGTTATCGTTCAAGAAAGTCTTGCACTCATTGTGGATAGTTCTCTGAAAACAGGCAGTCAGTGTGCAGACACAGCCAAAAGCAGCTAACAGAATTTAGGAACCATTAAGAAAGGATGAGAAGACAATAAATATCATAATGCCACTACAGTATATACATTTGGGATACACCCCCATCTCGAATTCTGGTTGACCCATCTCAAAACAAAAATTAGAAAATGAAAAAAGGTGCAGAGAAGGACAATACAAATAAGCATGGAACAGCTTCCTTCAGAAAAGAGAATAAAAAATTGGGACCGTTCAGCTTGGAAGAGTTTTCATAAGAGCCGAAGTGCGACAGTCTATCCCTTGGGGGAGCACTTTGCAACCCCCATTCTTTATACCATCTGAGATAGCAGGGAAAGGCTCTGACTTGGTGAAAGCAAATTTCTCTATCCATATTTGGTGTCTCATTAGCAGACATGAAATTATGAGAACTGTGTTGTATGGCTGTCACTAAAACATACTATACGTTGGAGATTTAGCCATATATTAGTTCTCCCGAAAGAACAAAGAAATAACCAACGCCCAGGCTGTGTGAAAAAAAAATGGAGCAATAGTCATTGTCCAGCAAGGGAGCTACACTTCTGTGATACGAGGCTGCACCAGGTGAACTACTCTGCCTGGCCTGGAGATCCAGTAAGGCCCCCAGACATGCCAGGACTGTCATCTCCCAAGTACATGGGTCTGAAGGTGTAAAGAACACAATGGCCACTTGATTGGCCCTTCTCCCCACTCTTAGGGTACGTCTAGATTAAATGGCTCTGCCAACAAAGGCATGTAAAATAGGCTACCTGACATAGTCAATGAAGCGGGGATTTAAATATCCCCGGCTTCATTAAAATAAAAATGGCCGCCACGCTGTGCTGGCTCAGCTGATTGTTGGCAGAGTGCACGAGTCAAGACGCGGATCGGTCGACAAGGGAAGCCTTTGTCAACCGCTGTAAACCTCGTTTCATGAGGCACAAGGGAGCGGTTGACAAAGGCTTCCCTTGTCGACCGATCCGCGTCTTGACTCGTGCACTCTGCCAACAATCAGCTGAGCCAGCACAGCGTGGCGGCCATTTTTATTTTAATGAAGCCGGGGATATTTAAATCCCCGCTTCATTGACTATGTCAGGTAGCCTATTTTACATGCCTTTCAATGCAAGTAAAAGATACTGAAGGTTCTGACTGAGGCGACTGCATGGGCAGCTGGTGTCCTAGGTGGGGATCACCCACACACTGCCTTCAGAACACCTACTATAGGCCTACTGGGGCAGAGTGTTGCTGCCTCCCAGTGCCCGCCTTACCCGGTGGCTCTGGGTACGACACCTCCCTAGTGCTCTGGGGCCACATGCCCTCCTCCCTCCTTGGTGCTTCCTGGCCGCGGAGGCTGGGGTGCGGCTTGATGCCCATGAGTGTGAGGGGTGGGGCCTCACCAGAAGGGGCAGGGCTGGAGGTGGGGCTTGCCTCCCCTACCCCTACCTTCACCAAGCGCACATGGGGGACTGGCCCAGATTTTCAGGGGGAAGTCTGTGTACAGGTTGGACTTCCCTGGTCCAGCACCTCAGGACCTGATCAGTCCCCAATGAGGAAATCTGCTGGACCAGGGGAGGTTTCCTGTCACTGACCCTCGAACCCACTGGCTGCCTTTGTTTCCATTCCCAGCTTGTCACTCTGCTGTCAGCTGGGCAGGGCTGCCTGCCACTGAGCCAGGCTTGACTGGCTCCCGGGCTGTTGCGACCATGGCCTCCCTGCCAGGCTGGTGCCCTGTGCAACTCCAGCTCCCTGGACAGGCTGCTGCTGGCCCTGGCCCTGGCCCCTGCTTACCTACTAGGCTGTTGCTAAGCTGCAGCCCAGCTCTCCTGCTGGGCAACCAGAATGCTGCAGCTCCAGCCCCTCCGCCAGGCTACTGCCTTGCCATGGCCCTAGCTCTCTGCTGTGCTGCTGCCAGGCCCGCTGGGCTCCCAGCTGCTGATCTTCCTGCTGCCCAGCTCCCAGTCAGTGGGGCTCTCTGGGTCCCAGTTTAGGGAGGTTCAACCTATACTATGGACTGTAATATCCAGTGGGGTGAGAAAAACTGCTTGTTCTAGTTATTGCCCAGTCTAATAGGCCTGAGAGTTTAGACCGCACGTTTATAGTTTCTTTTCTTTCAGTAACTACTCCGACTTTTGCCTAACATTTCACAGAACAAGATTAGGGTTGGAAGAGACCTCAGGAGTCATCTAGTCCAACCCCCTGCTCAAAGCAGGACCAATCCCAACTCAATCATCCCAGCCAGGGCTTTGTCAAGCTTGGCTTTAAAAACCACTAAGGATGGATACTCCACCACTTCCCTAGGGAACCCATCCCAATGCTTTCCCACCCTCCTAGGGAAATAGTTTTTCCTAATGTCCAACCTAGACCTCCCCCACTGTAACTTGAGACCATTGCTCCTCATTCTGTCGTCTGCCACTGCTGAGAAAAGCCTCTCTCCATCCTAGGGAGTCAACTCACTACTTTGTACTCACTGCTTGCCTTTACCAGTGAGTTTGTGGGAAGTACGTGGCAAACCTGCTTCGGTTTTACAAAAGCTGGTGTATGCCCACTTTCCACTGATGAAGTGGTGAACCAACTGATGAATTAGATGGTAGATTCCTGAGGTACAGTGCTTGGAGCTGGAGGGATTTGGCTCTGGTGTCTTTCTCTGTGGGGCTCTGGGTATATTCATGCAATCTAGCAGGGCGTTGAATGACAACAGCCCCTAGAGGGGTTGTTGCTGCCCACTAGCAAGGTGTTGAGAGACACAGCCCAGGGTGGAGAGAGTTAAGGGGAGACAGCAGTCCTGTGGTCCTAGGCTGCATCCTGGGGATCCCATCACTCAGAGGTCACCCAATGGAATTAATATACAGCAGGGTTAAAAAACACACACACAGAAGAACTTGCTCCCTGGGGATGCTGTGAAGACAAAAAACAAACAAAAGGCTAGGTCCCCAATTGCTATTAGCCAACATGGCCAGGGAATCAACCCCGTGGTCTATACATCCCCAAGCCTCTGAGTGCTAGATGCTGGGACTAGATAACAGACAATTGCCCTGTTCTGTTCATTTGCTTTGAAGTTACAGTCAGGAGACAGGACACTGGACTAGATGGGCTATTGGTCTGACCCTGTATGGGCCTTCTTACAAGCTGACTTAAGCGCCAGTACAGATACCACTAGGATGACAGAAAAATTCCTTTGACCTAGCTACTGCCTCTCAAGGGGGCAAATTAGATACAGCTACAGGAACTCCCGTTACATCATCATGGTAAGCATCTACTCTGTGGTGCTAGTGACACACCTGCAGTGACACAGCTCTGAAATTTTTTCCCTTTAACACTGAAGTAGTAGGTTAGGACACAATAAATGCAATTCCACATTTGATTACATAGGAAGTCAGATTTTCGGAGCTGCAGAGTGAATTAGATTTTTTTCTACAAGTAATATTTCAGCTCTGAGATATCAAAGAGAAACAGAAACAGTACTAGTATTTCTAAAAACAGTTCATAAAATTTATATTTCTGAAGTTATAGAGCAAATAAATATCAATGCACAATTCTGTACCTGCTCACTACATTTTTCCTTTAGCACCTGTATAAATTGTGGGTATTACAACATGGTTCATGGCTGTTTCCACAAATTTCTCCCCATTAAAATGGCTAAAATATCACTTAACTGAAATTGTCTCCTTGCTGTATGTTAAATACAATAAGATTAATGAGGGAGGGAGGGGAGAGCTACTTTGTCAACCACAAAGCCAGGCCAAGGTAAAATGGCCCATATTCTTTGAAGACAGGTTTGATTTAGATCTTACAGAGAGAAAAGTCCAGCAGTCAGAAGGCTCTGCAAGAAAGGGAAGCCCCCCTTTTCATCACTAGCATTACATTCAGTAAGACACATTAAAACAGCGGAGAAAAATAAGGAGCTTTCTAGGGAGAGGAGATAGAACTGACAAGTTACTGACAGCACTCGGCAGATTGTTACTCTGAGTTGGCTTCTTATAGTACCTGCTTCCTCCACAGATTTCTGTAGAGCTTCTGCCAGTTCTTGATCTGCAATCTCCTCTGGCTGCACATCCTCCCGCCCTGCCCCATATGCCAGTCTCGCACATTCTGGGAGCTCCCCCTCCGGAAGGAAAGTTGTCTGAGATCCAGTGGTGCCAATCACTAGTACATTGTTTTTGAGATCAATGGAACACTGGGAAAAGAGTACACATGTGATTGATAGGACTGGCTTGTAAGAGCCAGCCACAAAACACCATTAATGACAAATTAAACAATGCACTAGAAAAAATTCACTTCCAAACATCGAGAGGTTAAAGTGAAAAGTTACAATAACTGTTTCAAGAAGGGTTGAGAAAGCGTAGCAACTAAAAACACAGGCTGAGTAGAAATAGCTCAGCAAGCTCATGTCTTCAATATACCAAGGGACTTCTTTTCACTGCTCCTATTAACTAGCTCTTGAATAATTATGGCGCTTCAGCTTTTCTGCCTTACTATGATTATAGCTAAATGTGAGGCCTTCCCAGACTCACTCTAATAAATTGCTCAGGTATAGATCTCTGAGGCGTTTCAGGCCCCAAGAGTCCAAAGCAAAGACCGTTAGGCTGGGACATGGTACAAGCTACAACAGGGCTACTCAACACGTGGCCTGTTGGGTTGCGGCCCGTGGTGCAGTTTGGGTTTACGCAGGGCTCAACACACGGCCTGTGGGTAGGATCCTTTGAACGCGGCCACCTCTGGGAACACGCTCCACAACGGTGAGTCAATAGAATGGTCTTCTGTTGAGATGTGTTTTAGTAGTTCAATTCCTGGACTGTCATTGCTCATTAAAAGTGCTGTCACAGGAGTGGAAATTGGGTAAATATTGCATTTTATTAATATGAGTAAAACTGACTTAAATGGGGCCTGCTTGTGTAGTCTTGCCTTAATTTTTGTATTCATGCTCGTCAGTGTGAAAGAAGCTATTTGCACATATATTTGCATGTATATGCAAGCACACTTAAATTGCAGCCCTTGGCACGTGCTGTGAGTATCACTGTGGCCCCGGGGCTTCCAAAGTTGAACAGCCCTGACCTACAACCTACAAGATGTAAGTGGGAAACATCTGTGGGAAAACCACGTTCTCAGATCTCTTCAGAGGTTTTTCAGAAATTTTTTCAGCTCTAAAAAAAATACATGTAAGATCAGTACTGTCCTTATGAAAGACTTCCAAAGGAGCCCAGGGTCATTGCAAAACAAGCACCAATTGATTCACTTACCTGATGTCTCTTAAGCATATCCAGTCCTAGAAGCATATCCATGGGCTGCTCTTCAAGGATGGAAAAAGAGCATGGGAGAAAATCCCCTTCAATCTGAACCTGAGCTGAAAAGAACACAGAAGACACCATGTTATACATACTCTAGATGCAAGAAGTGTTCAAGCACTGCAACATGAGGGTTCTACGGCAAGTATCTCTCTAGCAAAGGGCAAGGACACAAAATCTGTTTAGGTAAGGTATGGAATCAAAGCAAAAGCTGTTTAGACGTGGGTTGTGGGAAAATCTACTCTAAGCCAGCCTTGATGATTATTGTGAGTTTGCTGGCCCCAAGGGGCAATTTTTTTTCTTGTTTATTTTAAAAACCCACGGCTGTTCAGGACAGTGGGAACTGCTCAGCCAACCCTTCAAGCCAGAGCTAAAGAAACAGCATGCAAACTGCTCAGAGTCTGGATTGTATTTCTGTGCTTCAATCCAGAGTCAGTTTCTTTAACAGAGATAATGTAATTGAATGGCATTTTCTTCAGCTAAGCCTGTGCAAGAACACAGATATCCTGAAGTGCTGAGCAACACTCAGCTGCACTGGAACTGTGCCCTGAACATCACCCCATCCTGATCACCTATACCATAGGATAAAGCTATTTTATATTAACCCTTCAAGCACCAGGAATCAATGTTCTCTCAGCAGGGGGCTCTAGTCCTACCAGAATTAGAGTGTTAGAGTAATTATGAAAACATTGAACTTGGAACCCTGGTTACAGTTTGTGTGAACTTAATGTGTTCTTGATAAACTCGTACTCCACTCTAGAACCGTTCCTAAACTCGATAGCATGAAACCAGATGCTTTTTGGCACCAAGGAGAGCCACAACCATTACAAGTTAGCCCACTGTGCCACTACTTACCTAGGTGCACCCTGCCAATGATTTTCTGTGTGCCCACACCTTTAGCAATGCCTGCCCACCGCCGATCCACCAGTCTCATTATATTACACCTTTCAGCACAAGCCTGGCTCATAATGGTCATTTGGGCACCTACCACCAGAGACAAGAGTTATATTTAAAAATGACCAAGGAGTATTTTGATATCCACCAGTACAGAAATTTTAATTTAAGACTCAGTATTATACTATGGCATAAAGGCTCTTTGTGTACACCTCCCTCCCCTACTACCCAAAGGTTTTTATTGTTACAGAGTAACGATAAAATGGAATATTTACAACTCTAAATCTATATACAAGAATTGTTTGTTATAAAGGAAAACAACCTCAATTTTATGGCTAGGCAAACTGAGGCACATGGGCAGCTGTGTAACCATGGACGAGTCATTCTGCCTAGCAGCAAAGACGAGATTAGAACCCAGGGATTCCGACTCCCCGTCATGTTTTAACGACAACACACATTTTTTATTAGGTTGAATAACTGTCAGAAAGTACATTCAGATTTTAATTAGATCTTTTCAAATCTGCTAATGCACTGCTTTATGTGGGAAAGGAATGCTATACATTTATCTGTTGTGGGGATTCACTGTTTTCCTTAAAGAGCCAGGAGAAGGGAGAGCAGAAGAGGGTAGAGAGATTGAAAAGGGGCTGAGGAAGAGAGGGGAGGAATTCACCTGAGTCAACAAAAGCTTTCACTGGATGTCCATTGACTTTGCAGTTAATATAGAGCATCACCACCTGGCCAAAGCTCTCTGGGGCCTCTTCCATAGCTATCGTCATGTTCTCTTCTATATTTTGTTGCCTGAATTAAATGAAAACCAGAAACTGAAATGACACCTTCCACGAACAGAAACAGCAGATTCATTAAGCCTCCCCTTAACAAGGATACAAATTGTCATCCTCCCTCTCCCCACTACTGCCAGTTATGAACAGCTTGTGAAAGAGTACTGGACTTCAACAGTTAAACACCAGCCTATTTAGCAGATGATAGCAAAAGACCTTGCCTTAATCCAGGGGCATCAAATTGCTTGCAAGCAGGAAGGAGAGAATGTTCCTCAGAGTCCTTAAATCAGGAATGGTCACTGAGAAAAATCAGTAAGGGGCTACACACAAGTGAGAAACAAAAAACCCACCCCTCATCAGCATGGGCTCCCCAATGCTGGGGGGAGCCCTGAGCCTCAGGGGGCGGATCCAGGAAAGCCAGGGACTGCATCCGGCCCCTAGGCCTTAGGTTCCCCACCCCTGCCTTAAAGAAACCTATGCAGCAGTTTGGAATAAAGTTGTCAGATGGACTACTGTATAGCTCCTGGAGACCTGAAGCTGACTGTTCACAATAAAAGCCTGTCACTATAGAGCTAACAAAAAAATTGTGGTCAAAAGACTGCACTTCCATTTGTCATTCAGCTACAGCAGTGGGATCCCAAAAAGTTAGGTGTCAAAATGCTTGTGTGCCACAACATTCTTCCCTTGTGCAAGTATCTGGTTTGGGACAGACTACCTCAGAGTGCAGTGACAACACTGCAAATTCTCTCTACAAACTTAAGGGTCCAGAAAGGAAGACAAGCGAGATCCAAGCCAAACGGACATGCAGTTCCTTCCCTGCAGTAACCTTAAGCATGATGGGTATATCTACAGCTACCCTCCTGGAAATTCCACTCCAATTCATCTGATGAAGTGGGTTTTACCCAGGAAAGCTCATGTCCTAATAAATCTTTGTCTCCCTCATTTTTGCAGATACAGATTAATACTGCTGCCCCATAGATTTATTTGGGCATGAGCTTTTATGGACAAAAACCCACTTTGCAATTTGTTGTGACAGATGTTGCATCTGACAAAGTGGGTTTTTGTCCATGAAAGCTTATGCCCAAATAAATGTTAGTTTTTAAGGCGCCACTCAACTCCTCATTTTTGAGCTTTCACTGGATGTCCATTGACTTTGCAGTTAATATAGAGCATCGCCACCTGGCCAAAACTAAAGACTAACAGGGCTACGCCTCAGAAAAATACTTAACATTTATATAGTGCAAAATGCTTTATAATAATAAAGGATTATTTTCCCTCCTACTAATGCATGTTTTAGTACTGCCAACTCTACACAACCAACATGAGACAATTCTGCTTCACACATCAGCACAACCGTCTACCCGGTTGCGATTCAAGAACGTATTGTTGATGACATAGGAAAGAGAAGAATCACAGCAGTACCTTAGGGAGCCTGTGCCTCTGACAGTGAGAGAAGCCTTGTTCAGACTTACGGACTGTGTGGTATGCCAAAGATACAAAGGCGAAGGAAACCTGCGACAACATGGTGCCAATTTTACAGAGCCACTTTTCTGACAATGACTATGTTTGAAATCTACAACTAACCAGAGGCCAAGTCTATACTGGCAAGATACTGACAGTGCTGGGGGCTGATATACTGCTAACTGTCGAATTAGCGTGCTCTATGTAAACCACTTTGGTGAGAAGCGGAGAGCTTGCTGCACTCTAGCTACAGAGCTGGGATACCACTGTGGACACCATGGCGTAGTTCTGTGTCATGACTGCCTTCCGGCACCCTTCCCGCCAATGCCTGTTCTTGCCTCTCTGGTCAGCTGTTTGAACTCTACAACCAGCTCTTAGATGGCCAACCTACAGACTTGCCCTTTCCGATTTTTGCATGGCAATTCATGGTGTTCTCAGTGCATCTTTCCAGCTGCCATGCCTGCTCCATGCACCAGAAGACCCCCTGCTTGAAGCCATGCTGAGGTGCTGGACTTCATTAATGTTTGGGGGAGAGGAAGCAGTTCGGTCCCAGCTGTGCTCCGGCCATATTCCAGCTGAGCTTCATACCTACGGGCACATCTCAGGATGTACGACCAAAAGGAGCCATGAATAGGATGCATTTGTACAGGTAAGATTTTAGAGTAGATTATCTGTTGCTATTGAGAAGAATTTATTGTACTTGGTTTGTGCATGGTGATTTTTGAGGCGTGAGCCACTGAGGAACTATGCCTGGAGCTGGAGAGTGCGGAGATGTGGGTGATGAAGGCAACCGTGGTACTGGGTGAGGACATGCGGGAGCTGAGGGAGATGCCATGGCCGCCTAGATGACATTTGGAGCAGGTAAGTATCAGGTGTGCCTGGGCCAGTCCAGGGCTACGAGGATAACCTTGGCCTTGTCTGCTCAGATCTTGATGATCACTTGATTGAGAAGAGGTATTGGTGGAAAAGCATAGAGGAGAACTATGCCCCTGTGGATTGTGAATGGCTCCCCTAGGGAACGAGAGCCGATGCCTGCTCGTGAGCAGTACTGTGGGCATTTTTTGTTTATCTGGGGAAAACGCCAGCATTGGAAGATGTGATGCAAAACAGTGGGATTTATTTCCTAGTTGTGGTTGGAAGAGAAGTTTCTGCTCAAAGAGTCCGTTGTTGTGTTGTCTTTGCCTACAAGGTGTGAGGCAATCAAGGTGATATTGTGTGATATGCACCAAGACCAGCGATGGACTGCTTCCTTGCAGAGGGGATATGATCTGGCTCATCCCTGCCTGTTGATGTAAAACATTGCAGGTCTTTACAGACAACCAAGCTGCACAGTAGAATTGGAGATGTTGTCTCAGAAATGCTGGCAAGTACAGAATACCACACGGAGCTTGAGGATATTGATGTGCAGAGTGGTCTCTGCGGGTGACCATCGGGCTTGTATAGTGCAGGTGCCAAGGTGGGCTCTCCAGCCTATTTGGGACGGGTCTGTTGTGATCCTGAAGGAGGGGGCTAGTTTGTGGAAGGGGACCCCAGTGCACGTTTTGTGGATCCAACCACCATTGGAGCGACTTCCTGATGGTGAGTGGCACTGAGAGCAGCTTGAGGCGGCTGTTTCCTTGGTCTGTATACAGGGGGCTGGTCTTGATGACCTTCTGAGGTCCCTTCCAGCTCTATGGTTCTATGATTCTATGACAGTGCTGCGCCAGTGTTGTAGAGGCCTCATGTACAATCTGGCATGAGGCACCACGGTGGTGGCTGCTGCCATGTGGCCTAGGAGCTGGAGACATGTTCTGACAGGTAGTTGGGGAGCTGTGCGGTGCAGTTGGATAAGTTCCTGTATGGCTAGGAATCTGGTGGGGCAGAGATGCAGTGGCAGTGGTGCAATCTAATTGAGCCTCTATGAACTCCAGCACCTGGACTGGTTGGAGTTAGCATTTTGAGAGGTTTATTTGGAGACCTAGGGATCGAAAGATCCATAGCAGCACGGACCGCTTCTTGTCTCCTGAAAGGAGTCGGCTCTTATCAGGCAGTCACCCAGATAAGGGAAGATGGACACTCCCTGCCTGCGCAGATGAGCTATGACTACTGCCAGTACTTTGGAGAATCCCCTCGGTGCAGTGGAGAGGCTGAAGGGGAGTACCATGTACTGGAAGTGTTGTCCCCTCGCAGTGTTTCCTGTGTGCAGGGTGGATAGGCACATGGAAATATGTACCTTGGAGGTCGAAATTTGCTCTGTTGAGGGAATTATCGTGGAGGGGGTAATCATACAGAAGCGTTGGGAAAAGAAATGCCTGAGGCCTCTGAGGTCTAAAATTGACCTCCATCTCCCTGACTTCTTTTCCGTGAAGAAATAGCAGGAATAAAAGCCAGTGTTGCGGTACTAGTGGGGGACATGTTCCACTGCTTTGAAGGAGAGCAGGTGGTCAATCTCTTGGCACAGAATGCTGCTGAGAGAGGGACTGGGTGGGGGGGATGGGGTTTTGGGAGGTATGTAGTACCCATTATTTATGATGTCCAACATCCACTTGTTGGATGTTTTGAGGCACCAATGGTGATAGAAAGGTGTGGATATTGGAGTGCCATGAAGGACGGGAGGGGAGGAACGAGTTTGACGACTCCAGACCTAAACTTCAAAACATTTGTCTAGCATTAGAGGCTGGGACATCGTGGGCTGTTCAGTGGATTGTCACCTCCTGTTCTGGCATTGTTGCTTTCTCTAGTGGAGAAAGCATACTGCCTTTGTGGCTGAGTAAAGAAGGCAGGTCTGTACCTCTGAGTATAGCCCTTATTTTGTTCACATTTCTGCACAAGAACCTGGATGCCCAGCGTGTGAAGAGTGGCTCTGGAATCTTTCAGGGAGTGCAACGAAGTGTTAGTGGACGCCTTGAAAAGCTTTGGGCCCTCAACCCTTGTCTGAACCTCTTTCGGAAAGCCAGATCTATGGAGCCAGGATGCTCTCTTCTTCACTACCACAGATGCAAGGGAATGAGCGGCAGTGTCAGCAGAATCAAGGGAGGCCTGTAAGGCTGTCCTGGCTTTGTGTTAAAAGCCCTCATTTGCGTTAGCTTTAAACTGCTCCCATTTGTATTCTGGCACATACTTAATAAAGGTGGATATCTGTTCGAAAATGTGATGTATTTTGCCAGCATAGCTGTATAACTGGAAATGCATAGCCGGAGTGCAGCAGACGAGTAGGCTTTCCTACCCATGAGATCAAGCCATTTCCACTCTGTCAGGAAGTGGATTTTGGGAAGGTACGTTTGGCTTTCTGGTTGGCAGCATCAGCTACAAGGGAGTTGGCAGGAGGGTGTGTGAAGAGACTCTGCATCCTGAGAGGAGACATAATATTTTCTGTCCACTATTTTACCCACTGGCAATATGGCCACTGGTGTTTGCCACAGGTGTTTAACAAGATCCATGAGGGCAGGGTCCGTGGGTAGCACTAATTTTACTAATGGTGTAGCATGCAGAATGCTGGTGAGTTTATGTTGGGTGTCAAATCTCATTAACGACACAACCTAATGCATCAGCCATCCTCCAAAAAAGGTCCTGAAAAGC